CTTTTGTTGTTGGCAATTTTTTTAAGACCTGTTCAACTTCTTCTTTTGTTATGGGTCTGTCCAAGTTTTCCACCTCAATCTGTGTTAGTTTCAGTAAGTAGTGTGTTACTAGAAATCTGTCCATTTCTTCTAGATTTTCAAATTTGTTGGCACACAGTTCATCATAGTATTCTGATATTATCCTTTTCATTTCAGTTGGTTCTGTTGTAATGTCACCCGTTTTGTTTCTTATTCGTATTATTTGTATTCTCTCCCTGATTTCCTTTGTTAAATTTGACAGTGGTTTGTCAATTTTGTTAATCTTTTCAAAAAGCCAACTTCTAGTCTTGATTTTTTCTATTGTTTTTCTATTTTCTGTTTCATTTATTTCTGCTCAAATCTATATTATGTCCTTTCTTCTGGTGACTAGGTTTTCTTGCTGTTCTTTTTCTACTTGTTGGAGATGTTGGAGTAAGCTGTTGATTTTGGCTCTTTCTTCTTTTTTGCTGTGTACATTTATTGCTATATATTGGCCTCTGATCACTGCTTTTGATGTGTCCCAAAGATTTTGGTATGTTTTGCTTTCATTCTCATTTGATTCAAAGAATTGTTTATTTTCATTTTAGATTTCTTGTATTACACAGTCATTCTTCAGGAGGATGTTGTTCAGTTTCCATGTGTTTGCTCTTTTTCCATTGATCCGCCTATTGTTGATTTCTAATTTGATAGCATTGTGATCTGAGAAGATGCTTTGTGGTATTTCAATGTTTTAAAATTTATTAAGGTTTGCTTTATGGCTTAACATATGGTCTATCATGGAGAATGTTCCATGTGCACTAGAAAAGAATGTATATTGTGCTGTTGTTGGGAGAAGTGCTCTGTAGATGTTTACAAGGTCATGTTGGTGGATTGTATTGTCTAGTTCTTCTGCATCTTTGTGGAGTTTTTTTCCAGTTTTTCTATCTTTGATTGAAAGTAGTGTATTAAAGTCTCCCACTATGACTGTGGAGTCACCTATTTGTCTTTTCAATGCTGTTAATGTCTGATTTATGTATTTTGGGGCTCTTTCATTGTGCCCATAGATACATATTATGGTTGTATCTTCTTGTTCAATTGATCTTTTAATCATTATATAATGTCCTTCCTTGTCTCATATGGTGGTTTTTGTCTTAAAGTCAATTTGATCTGAAATTAATATTGTCACTCCTGTTTTTTGGTTGTCATTTGCCTGATATATCTTTTTCCAACCTTTGATTTGTAGTCTATTTTTGTCTTTGTCTCTAAGGTGTGTCTCTTGTAGATAGCATATTGATGGGTTATGTTTTCTTATCCACTATGCAATTCTCCATCTCTTGAGTGTTACATTTAATCCATTGATATTCAGTGTAATTATCAACAAGTATGAATTTGTTGCTGTCATTTTATTATGTGTTTTCTCATGGTAGTCTTGGTTTCTTTGTTCCATATAGTTTTCTGTGCTGAGCTAGTTTTATTTATGAATCGTGTTATCATTTCCTTTATTGCTGTTGTTTTAGTATTCTGTTTTATTGTGATGTGAAGGTTTATCATTTTTGTTTGAAGTTACCTTGTGATTTATCATTTTCTCCCAAGTTTAGAACAGTCCATTCTATCTTTGAACTCTCTTGACTTCCTCACCATTTAGAAGTTCTGTAACTACACTACTTTTTTCCCTCTTTTTGGTTTGTAGTTGTCCTCATTTGCCAGTTGATATTTCTAGTTCCCTGTTTACAATCTTGTAAGCTTATTGTAAGCTTATTTTGAGGAGCTCTGGTAGCATAGCGCCTAAGGCACTTGACTGCTAACCAGAAGGCTGGCGGTTCAAACCCACCAGCCACTCCTCGGAAGGAAGGTTGGGCAATCTTACTTCCGTAGTGATACTGCCTCGGAAACCCAAGGAGGGGTCGCTATGAGTTGGGGCCAACTCGACGGCAAATAACAACACAACAACAACAACAACAACAAGCTTATTTTACTTTGGATACTTCCATAGCTGTGTTGGTTTCTGGGTTATGTCAACACGTCTATTAATGGTCAGTTGTTGTTTGCTCCTTCCATCTTCTTTTGATGTTTCCTGCATCATTCAATATTTTGCCCACAGAATCTTTTAATATTGCAACTCAAGACTCGAATTTTTCTTATCTTTTTCAGCTTGAGTAATGTTGAGTATGTTCTTCCCTCTTGGTTTTATGATTGGCCTCTACATATTTACCTATTTTTGTCACTTCATGTAAGTGAGGTCATCAGTACACCTATATTCATTCCAGCATCATTCACAATAACAAAACAGTGGAAACAATCCAAATGTCCATCAACATATGAATGGATAAACATACCTAAATGTATTATTACAAAGCTATAAACATAAAACCAAGTCCAGATACATGCTACAACATGGATGATTCTCAATGACATTATGTTGAGTGAAATAAGTCAATTACAAAAAGACAAATACTATATGATGTCATGTATATGAAACAACAAGAATAGGTAAATATAAAGAAACCATTTCTAGTTTCTTGATCCTTAAAATCCAAGAGCCATTTCTGAGTCAGTCCATGATAATAACCTGTCTCCCTATTGGAGGGGACCTCTATCTTGACTTTGGAGAAAATCACCTCAGTTAATTTTATTTTACTAACTCTGTGTGCAGCCCTTAACAACAGATAACCACTCCTCATTTATCGACATGGTTACGTTCGTAAGAAAATTGGCATTATGTGTAAATGGAAGATGACCACTTCAGATCACAAAATGGAGGATGACTACATCATTACATCACTGCCAAACCACTGAGAATCAAGGTGATACATACCGTTAACCATCACAGACAGTATTATTCTCACCTCATACCTTGGCATTCATTACTGCCGGATGAATGTCATTAATGCGCAAAATAGTCAAATAGAATTTTTACTATTGTCCTAAATGTGAAATGTAATGATAATGAGATCAACAAGTGAGGAGTACGTATAGTTGAGTTTTGCTTACTTTTCAATTTAGATCAATGTAATCACACTCTATATATTCTTTTCCTATTTAGTTTCTTTCATTTGACACTATGTTTATGATATTCAGCCACATTATTGGGTTCATTTTGTTTTCTTGCTGTATAGAATTAAACTGTGTAAGTAAAAAACAATCTATTCATCTATTCCATTGATAAACCACCACAATTTACTTTTTTTTTTCCCCAAAAGAAAAATAACTTGATTATTTTTCCTAGGGAAAAAAAAAAATCCAAAATTAAAAAAATACTAAAGTCAAACTAAATATAAATAAATTAGAAGGACTGGAAGAAGTCCTCTATGTGGAGATTATGAGTTCATGAGAAATCAAAAGAAACAATGCTGAACACAACACGCACACAAATAGCCAGTACTCCCAGATATGAGTAGTTGTCATAGATTGAATTGTGTCCCACAAAAATTATGCATCAACTTGGGTGGGCCATGCCTCTCAGTTGTTTGGCAGTTATGTTCAACTGTAATTTGGCAGCTAAGTAACGATGTAATCATCTGTCATGATGCAATCTGATGTGATCAGCCAATCAGTAGTAAGGGGATGAGGGTGAAATGCAACACCTTTACTCAGGTTAGGAGCTCTAGTGGCAAAGTGCCTAAGGCATTTGACTGCTAACCAGAAGGCTAGCGGTTCAAACCCACCAGTCACTCAGAAGGAAGGCTGGGCAATCTAGTTCCGTAGTGATAATGACTTGGAAACCCAAGGAGTCAGATCTGACTCAACGGCAGCGAGTTTGATTTTTGGTTTTTTTTTATTCAGGTTACAGCCCTGATCTGATGTAAGGGGAGTTTCGCTGGCCTGTGGCCAGCATCACCTTTTGTCTACAAGAGATAAAAGGAGAGACAAATGAACAGAGGGACACCAGTATCATCAAGAAAGAAGAGTCAGGAACAGTGAGCATCCTTGCAGCCAGGGTCCTTGTGCTGACAACCTCTCACACTGAGGGGAAGACTGATGCCAAGACTCATGAAGATCTCCAAGGAACACAAGGCCAACAGATGTTGAAAGGAGACAAAGACCGTACCTAAGAGCCCACAGTGAGAGAAAGCTTTCCTCAAGAGCTAGAATCCTCAACTCAGACTTCTAACATCCTAAACTGTGAGAGAATACATTTCTGTTTGTTAAAGCCATCCACTTGTGATATGTGTTACAACAGCATTAAATAACTAAGACAGTACTGAAACACAACTACAGTTGTTCCACTTCAACCACATATGTTGCTAGGCACATAGAAAAGTTCTTTCCCATACATAAAGGACTGAACAGATATGGAATCTGAGAACTGACAAAATCCTACCAGAAAATAAGATGGAAGGTAGCACAGCATCATGGTTAGTAGCATAGGCTTTGGAGTTCAACTATCAGTTCTACCAGTTGGTAGTTTTGTAATCTTGGGGACAGTTTCCTCATCTATAAAAAGAGGTAAACATAGTTTCTTCATAGGAGGTTGTAACATTAACTGAGATAATGTCTGTTAAGCTCTGCACAGTCAACAACAACATCATTACAGGAAGAAAAGGTAGATCACCCGCCATGAACTGACCTCTGTTTATAGGTCATGGCCAGATCTTTCCAGTAGTTAGCTTCTTCTTCCTCAGAGCTGAAAGTAGTCTTTCCGGAATCCTCCATTGTGAAAGAGAGAAGAGATCTACTCTTCTTGCAGCATGGTATCTAGGAGAAGAGATTTTAAAATAATTACCCAAAAAACCTGTTGCTGTTAAGTTTATTCTGACTCTTAGCAACCCCACAGGCTAGGGTAGAACTGCCCCACAGGGTTTCCACGGCAGTTATCTTTATGGAAGCAGACTGTCACATCTTTCTCCCATGGAGCAGCTGGTGGGTTCAAATTGTCAACCTTTCAGTTAGCAGTTGAGTATTTAACCATTGCACTAAATACCTGTGGGGGGAAAAAAGCCAACTTTTATGTTAATTAAATGACAAAACATTGCCAAAAAGCTAAAGCCAAACCCAAACAAAATACAGACCACTCACCTGTTATAACCCATGGATTAATATCAAGGCTTATGTACATCACTCCACAAATACTTATTGAGCACCTACTATAGGACCCAGGGATCCAAATAAGATGTCTCCAAGGTCCTCCCTCCCCGCAAGGGAGCTCACAGTCTGTCTGTGGGGAAGAGATGAATAATAACGTAAATTATTATAAAACTAAATAGTGAGTGCAGCAATAGGAATATGCAACAGGCAACTAATATACTGTAAATTACATATATTTACAGCATATAATTTGATGAAGTTTAGCATATGTATATACCTGAGAAACCATGGCCACAGTGAAGATAAACATCTCCATCACTGCATGGGGCATTCAGGGAGTCCTGCACTCAAGCCTGTTTGAGTTCGTGGGTGGTACAAATAGTTAAGCAATGGGCTATTAACCAAAAGGCTGACAGTGCAAACTCACCTAGAGGTACCTGGAAAGGTCTGGTGAGGTACTTCCAAAAGGTTGCAGCCTTGAAAACCCTATGGACTACAGTTTTACTCTGCAACACATGGGATTGCCATGAATCAGAAAAGACTCAACAGCAACAGGCCTGCTTTTTGGGTTTTTGAACTCAACTTGAAAGTCAAGGAAGGCTTCTGGAGCTGTAGCCTAAAGAACATGAAGGCACTGACAGGTGAAAGGTAGGGAAAAAGGCTAAGCAGAGGGAGAAACCGAGAGCAGTCAGGCCTGTTGGGGGACCCGGAATTGCGTGGATTTAAAACTGAGGAAGGGATGGGATGGCAATCAAAGCAGCAAAGAAGATACGTGCGAAAGAGGTAAGGACCAGGAAGAATGAGCTCCTGGGAGCTTCCAAGGAACAAAAAGGGAACGTTCCACAGTATCAAGGATGCAACCAAGAAACTGGTAAAAATATCCATGACACTTGGGGAAATGTCAGTCACTAGTGATTTGAGGAGCCCTAGTGGTACAGTGGATTTGCTGCTAACTGAAAGGTCACCAGCTGGAGCCTAGCAACTGCTTCATGGGATTAAGAAATGGCAGTCTGATTCTGTGACAATTACAGCCTTGGAATCCCAATGGGGCAGTCCTACTCTGTCCTATAAGGTCCAGCAGAAATCATCACCAAAGCACTGAGTTTGGGTTTTGGTTTGGTAATTTGAGCAAGAATAGTTTCAATGGAGTGGGAGGAGATAAACTGGGTGGAGGAGTCACTAGGTGTTTAAGAAGAGGAAGCAGAATTTTGGAGAACTCAAATTTTGTAAAAGAAGGAGGCAAATTAGGCAGTAGCTGGAGGGTGGGGTGGTAAGGGCTTTAGACTACTGTAGTCTCTCAGAAGATGGAAGCAAATTTCTATGAACAGTTGGGTTAATAAGTTTGTAGACTCCCTGCAGATGGAGTTGGGTTTAACATTATTTTCTGAGGTTTTTTTTGAGGTCCTGAGCTTGTCAAAAGGTCATGAGAGACCCAAATAAGATTATCTCAGGGTCCTTTCCTCCCCTCAAAAGAGTTTGCAGTATGTGCGTATCCATGAGGACAAAAGAATGAACATAACCCATCGTTGGTTTTTTTCCCCCTCCTCTTAATTTTACCAATATATCCCAGAGTAAAAAAAAGTGAGCTGTTATGCATGGGTAGTTTACTACACAGTTTCAAATTTAATTATCACTAATTTCTTTTTTTTTTTTTTTTATTGTGCTCTAGGTGTAAATTTAGAGCAGAGTTTGTTTTATACTCAACATTTCATGTACATTTGGTTTTACTGCCCAATTACCATCCTCAACCCTAACCCACTCTCCTCCTCTTCCTTCGCAGTAATCCCACCCCCACCCCATGCCCCTCATAGTTATGCACTCCTGTGTGTCCTGCATTTCCTCCGTGTGAATGTTGCCCCTCTGGTGCCCTGTGGTCAAATGCTCTTGGGGATGCATCTCCATAGAGTATGTGGGTGCATCACCCTGGGTTGAGTGGTCTGCGTATATGTCTTGTTTACTATTGGGCTAAGAGCCAGCCTCTGGGAGTAAGTAAGCTTCATTCCAGGCCCAAAGTGTATCCCAGCGCCATAGTATTGGGGGTCCCACCAGACTCCATCTGACCAGTAATTCTGGTCATTATTGTGTTTTTTTATTTTGTTCCACATTTTTTACCTCCCACTCTACATTACCCATCATTTTGCAAGACTTAACCAACTGTTTTTAAGAAGTTCTATTTTTGGTTAAAAATACAAATCATTAGGTAAATGTGTTAGTGTCAACACAAACACAATCACCAACTTCTGGATCCCTGGTAGAGGGCTGTCATGAGTCAAAATCCACTCAAGGCAACTAACAACTTCCACCACCATCTATATCTAAGCACAGTACTCATTCATAATTCTACATTTATTAGTACTTGTATTCACATTTTCTCTCTTTTCTAATTTTTCTCTCTTCCCTAATTCTGAGAAAATGTGCTATTTTTCACTACCCACTCACCCATTCTGGGCAACAGTTTGTCTGAAAGTTTCATCAAAGCAGAGAAACTAGATGTAGTAGAAAGCTGTTGATTTGTTGACTCTTCCATTCTAGCATTCATTGTTCCATCTTCCTAAAATAGTATCCCAATAGTCCCTTGGGGCAGCCTATCCTGTTCTCATTCCCTGGGGTTCAAATGAACCTGTCACCATCATCTAGATCTGGGAGATGGCACATGCTAATTCATGCCTTTAGCATCAGGACTAGCTCAGAAATAGGCCTAACCTAGGATGAGCCAACAAGTGTCCAGGCCCACGCCTTCTATGATGCTATCAGGAAAGAAACACCTTCTGCGAGTGTTGGTGAGGAGGTAGGAAGTAAGCCTGGAGCCGCCAGTTGACATCTTGCTATCACAAGGGGAGAGCCTCCTTGAAAATGAAAACAAAACCTAGGAAAGCAAGACAAAGAGATGGAAAGACTGAGCCCTGACAATATCATAGGAACAACTGAATCCAGTCATACCTGATTTAAGATTATGAGAGCTAATCAATTCCCTTTGTTGGTTACACCAACTAGAGTTGGATTTCTTCTACAAGAAAATCCTAATTAATATATGCAGTGAATGATCTTTTTCGTCAAAGTAAAAAAGGAGAGTATCTTAGAATGTTAATAGCAGTAATGGACATGGTGAGGAACAGGGGTACATTTAGACCTAGTACTCCTTGCTCAAGTCATAAGCTCTAAAAAGCCCAGATCTCATCTGCTACATAGTCACCAGACCCATTTCTATAATGTCAGGAGCCCAGGGCCCACATAGCTGTTAATGAATACTGTGTCGCCATTAAGACATTGGTAAGCCTATTGAGAACAGCTTCAGCTACGTGGCATGGGAGAAGTCAGAGTACACAGGTTGAGGAATAGGGAACAATGCATTTTCCTGAGGTTTGAGAAAAGATGACAAACACAACTAAGGTACAGGTATCCCACACTTTTCAAAAGTTTGCTTTACACCACTTTGCTTTCATGAAAGACCTATATTAGTACCTGTTTTCATTAACCGAAAGAAATTCAAAGGATTTCTGCCTTTACAAAAAAAGGTGAAACGTGAACATACAGTACTGCATTGTCAGTCAGGGCAAACATGGGTATACAGGTGGCTGAACGATTAGGTATGTCTATGCAGGTGGGAGTGCGCCCAAGACTATGTACAGGGTTGGCAGACAACATTTCTACAAGTGTATTTGTATGTTCTGTAAGAATTTCCAGGTATATAGTAGAGCTGACAAGGGACAAGGTTATAGTCACTTCTTGGCCACAGCTAGCTGCCCAAAGGGAATGAGCAGCTCAACTGTCATAATATACTACACGAAATATTGTTGCACATCCTGCTTTGGTGAGTAGCTACTGGGCTCTTAAAAGCCTACAAGCAGCCATCTAGATAAAACGATGGGTCTCTCCTCATCCAGAGCAAAGAAAAACGAAGGAAACCAAAGATGCATGGAAACAATTAATCGATGTGACTGGTACACCACACAATCCTTAGCCTATACAACTATGACACTAGAAGAACTAGATGGTGCCTGGCTACCACTGTCAACCATTTGGAGGGGGATCTATGTAGGAGATCCTGGATAGAGTGGGAGAACAATGTGGAACAAAACTCAAAATCATTAAAAAAAAAAAAGACCAGGTTTGCTGGTCTGATAGAGCCTGGTGGAACCCTTCAGGTCTAGAATTGAACCCACTCCTGTGGCTTCCAGACAAACAAAAGACAGGCACATGAGGTGAACATTTACAGTAAGTAAATCTCTTTGGAGAGATCAATCATGGGAGAATAGAAGGGCTATGTATGCACAGGGAGACAGCTCAGGGGGCAGGAGTTCATGGGAGGGAAGAGTACAGGGAAGAGGTAACTATGTGGAGGAAGTGGGAAGAGAGCTGTTGCATTGTGGGAAATTGTAGTCAATGTCAAAGTGTATGTGAGCTAATATATGGAAAATGAATTTGCTCTGTAAACTTTCACCCAAATCATAATAAAAATTAAAATAAATAAATAAATAAAAGATGAAAAGTGAAACTAGCAGTCAGCATTTGTTTTGCAACAAACAATTAAAGAGGCGGTGTAACACCCCAAGCTGTGAGAGTGGTATTTCCAAGCTCATTCCTTGGGAAGTACTTTCAGCATCTCAGCATCAGGCTATCATAGCTTT